TGATATGAATAAAAGGATACTGTATATAAGGTTGTATATAGAGGTATATGGGTTGGGTTGTTTATCAACGGTCTACATTTAAGGTAGCATTTTGTGGAACAAAGTCGCGCCCCCGTTTTGGCACAACGTCGTCTGACCAGTGCCACGTAACCGTTTCGTGGTAAGTTTGGTGGTCTCCATCGCCCACCATCCTTCACTGGTGGCTGGATGACCATCCATCACTCGCCACTTCCATCACTCCTCCAACTAGGCTGCCAACAAATCATCCATCACTTCCATCACTCGCCCGCAAACCACCATCGCCCACCATCCGCGTCCACTCCACCGTGTCACTAAGTTGTCTCCACGGATGACGTACAGACCCAAGACCACCTGGCGTGGAAAAGCCACTGTGGCCAGGTCAAAGGGAGGCACCGAGCATGAACAAGGATTTGGGAGGATGCGAAAAAAACACTAGTACCGCTAGTATAGTCATGTAGACTAGTACCGCTTGTCATGTGCTTCAGGTAGTACCTGCCCCCTTCAAGATCCGTGTTTCCTGGGGACACTAACTGGGTTCAGAACACCACGTGTTTTTCGTGGCGACACGCACCTGGTTCTTGCACTTGGTGTTTTTTGGAGCGACGACTTCTCCGGGTTTTTGGTGCTTGCTCTCAGCGAAACCACACCTGCTCGACGCCCTTTTCGGTGTCGAAGACTCGCTCCTGGCCCAACGAGGGTCGGTCACAACCGGGGTCTCCGGGTTCAAGGACCCAGGTGTCAAGGACCCAGGTAGAGGAACTTGGTGCCTTGCAAGTTGAATGGTTGTTTCGTCTTTTAATAAATACATAGGTCCAAGTGAACTCCGGACGTGCGTAAAATCCCACCTCTTGATTGTGTTGCTAGGAGCCTCACCTCCTTGGTTTGAAGAACTAAACTCGAGCTCAACAAAAGGACCTGCAACCATTAGTTGTGATGACATAGATTGAACAAGTATCAGTATGACCCTTCGTGGACATCCTGGTAAATAACTATGCAAATTTGGCAAGCCAACTTTGACCACAGGACATATCCGATATAACCATCAGTGGATGAGAACATCTGCAACGACTTGATTCCCCAGAAAAGACTGTTGCGTCAAAAGAACAAACTCCTGGAACCAATCATTGGTAATTATTTTGTCTCTGGCTTAGAGGGCAGTGGGCATGACTTGACTTCAAATTCAAACTCACCCCAAAAATGATCCAACTCGGGAAAATGTCCCAACCAAAAGGACAAACAAGAGGGGTTCCGAGTGTCCTCCACCCTCACCACTCAGGGTCCGATGAGCGGACTTCGGGGGGTCCCGACTCCACCGGGCCTGGCAGTCGCTCAGTACCACATTGGAGGACTGGTCAAATCCCCGGAGGACGCCCACGAAGAGCTGGAGACGGGCAGGTGCATGGAGAGACATACGAAAAGGTGGTGGTGGTGGTGGTGGTGGTGGTGGTGGTGGTGTGAAATACAGTCACCATCGTTGACCATTTCGTTCGACCACAAC